CCACAGCAAGGTTGGTAACTGCTTTCCCCAAGGGACTCCAGAAAGGCCCGGATGCACATCTTCCTGCTGGACACCTGCCTGGGCCCTGTCTTCTGGGTACCGCAGAGCCCATGGCCCACTCAGGCCTTCAGCCCCTCACCCCAGCGTGCACCGTGTTTCCCTTTAAACCCAGACGTGGTGTGAACGTTTATGATTGGAAAATGCTGTCCTCACAGTCGGGCGCGGCAGGGTCATTTTGAATCTCTCTTCCACCTTTCATCATGTCAGAAGTCATCACGGATGGGTGCCGTTTCACATGGGCCTGAATGGCTGCCTGTGTGTTCTCTGGGCCGGAGATGCTGCGTGGGCCGTGCTCCCTGAGACCCTAGGTCCTGGCCTCTGCCCAGAGTCACCCTCAATCACTCCATCTGGCACCATGGCCTGGGCTGTGCTTGCCTGGACCTTTGTCCACGGTGGACCCTGCCCCACCACCCACTGTCTGCAAAGAGGCTTTGCACAACCCGCTTTCTGGTCCTTCCTGTGCCCTGCTGGGGCCCTGGCTTTCCGAGGGACTGTCATCCACGCAGCAGTGTGCCCTGTGCCTGGCCGTGCCCCTTGGGCATGGCTTCCTTCTTTTAGCAAATACAGAGCAGCTTGGGCAGCCCTGTACACTGAGGTCGGACTGCCTTCGTGCTTGTGTCCACCAGAGTCTCGGCAACCAGAAGGTACCTGAAGGCTTGCAGACATTCTTGATGGCTTCTCTCTTGTCTTACGCCCAGCTGAGTAGACTCTTTGTCTCAGTGAACTGTTTCTGCCAAATATGCGGAAATGGCATTGAGGGCAGTGCTGGCCTTGTGGAGTGACCAAGAGCTCATGTGTCTGTCCAGCCCCAGGACCCATCCTGGCTCCCAGAGCCCAGTACCAGGGCAGGGCTGACACCGGGTCTCACCCTGAAGAGGCTTTAGGCTACTGGTGGCCCCAGGTAGCACGTCACCCCTGCCCAGAATGTCAGGTTTGGTGTGCACCCAGTGGGGTGAGTGTATTTACATAGTTCTGCCACTCTGGAGGGTAGGACTGGCATCCGAGCAGGCACAGAGGTGCCCACTGTCCTTGAACATTGATGAAGGGCTCAGGGCCCTGGGTGTCCAGGACAGGACCAGGTAGAGGCAAAAGGGCCTGTTCTTGCAGAGATCAGAATGTCATCTAGGGGAAGGGCTGTCCCTGGGCTCCAAAGTCAGAGCTTCTCTGTACCCAGATGTCTACCACTACCTGGGACATGGCTGCTTCTCCAGTTCAGCAGCCAGGCAGGGACAAGGGCCATGCCCACTCTGAGTGGCGAGCTGTTCCACACCAGAAGGAGGTATTCACTCTACCCATCCACCCCAGACTGGAGCTATGGTGTCACCATGAGCGCTGCATATAGGAGGGAGGTGTCCATCCCTCTAATGGGGCCGTGGGTATCCGTCCAGGTCACATAGGGCAGTTGTGTCACCATGGCGTGCTGGACCCCATGGGTGGTTCACCAGTCTGATGCTGGAGCCATGGGGATCCACCACCTGACACGGGGGCCCAGGTGCCACCCTGGCACTCCCACCAGGGTAGCACCAACAGTGGGCAGTGGAGCCCAGTGGTTACCTACCGGCTCCCTTAGAACAGCACGTGTCACAGGGCTTGCCGGAAGGGCGTCCCAGGGCCTGGCTGAGGGACACAGGCAGGTCACAGAAGGAGCTCTGCATCACACCCACGTGTGCCAAGCAGAGGTGAAGCCTGGCCGGTCTGCAGGGTGCGTCCTTGGCCGTGCTGCTCCTCTCCCTCCCCTCTCAGAGCTTCCCCACCCTCTGCCGGTCCTGCACGGCTGTGTACTGCGCTGCCCGCTAGGAGGACACCCAGGGTTGCTGCCCATCACCGGCCCTTGCACACTCATGTGCAATGCGTGTCACACACCACTGGGCAATGGGAAGGCCCTGCTGGGCATCAGGCCTTGACCCTGGCCCAAGGCCCTCAGGTCCCCTTCAGAGGGGCTGCCCTTTTGCGGCTGGACACCTGAGCTCGTCAGCTCAGTGTGCGGGCCCAGGTGAGTACTTTTCAGTCAAAGATCCCTTGCGCCCATAGTCACTTCTTCGTGTGCTCGGAGCGGACCCTGGGGTTGACAGGTTACTGCCTGTGCACTGTGAAGCCCGTGTCTCATCTCCAGGACCGTCTCCCCACTCAGCACCAGACCCCACCGGTCCCCTCCTTCCTTCCCAGGTCCTGGCACCTCACACCCGGTTGTACCTGATGCCACTTTCCAGCATATGGCCTGCTGGACTCTTCTCCCTGTGGAGTGAACGTGCGCACCAGGTGCTGCCTCCTATCGCCCAGTGCCTCGGTTTCTCCAGGCCTCTGTTTGGGCCCCGTGGCAGTGCGCTGGCCTGGACCCCACCATGGCCACAGCTTCCCCTTGAGCCTCTCCAGGAGGTGTCCTGTTTGCAGGCCTTGTTTTCACAGGATGCTGTAGTGCTGTGACCATGGCAGCCAGGCAGGCCCTCGGGGACAGACGCAGAGTTTGTCCTTCCCTTCCTCGGGGCTCAGTGCCCACTGTCCCTCTCCAGTGGCGCAACCTCACCAGGCAGGATGGCTGTCGTGCCACACCGGGAGGGTTGGGGGCATGTGCCGGTGGCATCTCACATAGGGAATGGTGGCAGACCTTGGAGCGGCACAGGGCTGCGTGGGGTGCAGGGCTGGGAGGACTGAGAACAGACTAGTGAGGAAGCCCTGGCCTCTTGTAAGCTAGACAGATTGGTGACCTGGGGGCTTCCTGGTCCTCAGAGACAGGCACCGTGGGGCACACACCCTGCAGGTGGATGTCCAGCCTGGGTCCCAGTAGGACTTGCCTGTGTCTTCAGAGATTGGTTTTCTCTGTGGCACAGGTTGAGTTGGGTCCCAGAAAGGTGTGCTTGCATATTGTCCCAGGTACTGTGGTTGTGGGAACGGGGTCTCTGCAGAAATCATCAGGGTCAGAGGCGTCAGCGAGGGCCCTCATCTAGGGTGACCACTGTCCTTCAGAGAAAGGAAGGAAGGGAAGGGACGCTGGCAAGAAGACTGGGAAACAGTGGAAAGATTGATGCTGCTGCGGGCGAAGGGCGCTGGGGACTGGCAGCCACCAGTACAGTGCGTCAGGGGACACAGCCTGCAGGACCTCGGAGGAGAGATTCCAGGATTTAAGCCATCGGGTCTGTGGTGCTTTGTTTAACAGTCACTGGCACCCCATCTGGGGCACCTCCCCTGAGACCCTGCAGTTTTGGTTGGGGACCACCTGCTCCACGGGGCAGTGATCAGCATCTCAGCACCTGAGGGGCAAGGGTACCAGGGCTGCCTGTAGAGGTGTCTGTCCACCAGACCAGGATACAAGCTGGATCCTCTGAATGTGTGTGACCCTCCACTCACGTGCACTGGCCAGCACGTGGGCCGTGGGCCGCTGGCTCTGTCCACCATGGACAGCTCCACAATGGGGCGGATGGGACTGAGCCAAGTCTGTCCAGTGCTGCTGGAGACGCCCCCTGGGTCACCCAGACACCAGCACCCCTGAGGAAAGAGCCGGGCTGCAGGACTTGGGCAGTCACTGCCTGCTGCCTCCTGCCAGGGCCTAGGCTGCCTGGTACACCCTGGGGATAGGGGACTCCGAGGCAGGTGTGGCACAGGTGCCAGCCGCCTACATGAAGATGTCTGTGGTGACAGGAGCAGGAGTGGTGGGAGAGGGTGGACTCTGAGTTCCTTCCTGGTGTGGCCTCCAGTCCTATCCCGTGCCCATGTGTGGCCCCCACATGGCAGCAGGAGTCGCCATGTCTGTGCATCTCTGTGATCTCCTGCACAGAGGACAGCATACAGTTGGCGGCCACTGCTGGCTGAGTAAAGTGAAAGAGCGAGACCCTGGGTGAATGGGGCCTTGGGTGCTCCAGGAGTGACCCGGATGAGGGCCGTGAGTCTGTGCTCAGGACGCTGCCCCCCGGGCAGGGACAGATGCCTGGTCCTCTCCTGCCAGGTGCAAGGATGCCCTCCTCCTCCCACGAGCTGCCATTTTCTCATCTTCACAGCCCACTGTTGTGTGTGGCGCTATCTTTATGGGTCAGTGCAACTCCAGTGCTTGTTGGGAGTGTCTGAGCCGCATTCTACCTGCAGAGCGATGGTTTACACTAGAGGGGCTCATTTCCCATTGGAATTCCTTGGCCATGCTCCTGGGATGTTGGCCCCAGTGCCAGAGACAGTGCACCCTCCTACCTCAGAGAGACGAGTGGGAGCTAGGGGTGCCAGGAGAGCCATTTGAGTGGCAACTCGGTGGGATGGGTCCCTTCTCTGACCCACAGCGGCGCAGGCCACTTGTGCGTGGGTGTACTTGGGTGCCTCCGTAGGTGTGTGCGCCCCTGCAGGCTGCCTGTGTGTGCACCAGCGGCTCACGTGCCTGTGTGTCTGTTATGTGTCCACCTGGCCTGTGCGGGTCCTACTGGTGCCTGTGTGCAGTGGAAAGCCTTTGTCCTCCTCTGCTGCAGGTCTCCTTCCAGGAGGTGAAGGAGCCTGGATTTCCTGGTGCTCATGAGCACAACCGGGCCCCCATCTGTGCCCCGGCAGGGACAGCGGGCCTCCCTGGCACTGAGGCCTGTTTCTGACTCCCATATGCTGTGTGGTGAAGTCTGCTGGCCTGGGGACTGAGGCCCAGGACTGTCTGGGTTCTGCAGTCAGGTCCCCTCCTCCTGAGCCCTGCATGTGGGGGTGGACGACAGCTCTCTCCTCTGTGATATGGCCCTTTCATTTCCGGTGGCTCTGAGCTGGGGCCATGTTTAATTTCCTGTCTGCCAAGCCAAAGCTGCTGAAACCAGGGCACGTGCAGGGGCTGGTGGTGACCTGCCCAGCCTGGGCTGTGCAGCGCACTCTCTGCAGGGCCAGGCTTCCCTGCCCCAGTCGGTCCATAGTGGGTGCCAGGTGGGCCTCGGGCCTGGGGCAGCGGCTGCGGCCATACAGCTCATGACAGTTTACCTGTCTTGCAGGTCAGCTAGCCGCCGGCACCTGTGAGATTGTGACCCTGGACCGGGACAGTAGCCAGCCGCGGAGGACAATCGCCCGGCAGACGGCTCGCTGCGCGTGCAGAAAGGGACAGATCGCAGGGACCACGAGGGCACGGCCTGCCTGTGTGGACGGTAAGAGCCCAGCCTACAGGTGCTGAGCGCAGGAGGGCAGAAGATGCTGTCTCCCCTCAAGCTGACCACAAGGCCTCGAGGTCCACTGCTGGTCAGGCTCTGGCTGCACAGCCTTGGCCTCAGGCTGGCTCATCAAGGGTAACTGTCCCCAAGGGGAGCGTGGCATGTACCCAGAAGCAGCAGCTTCTCACCCTTTATGGCTTCCAGGGTGACCTGGTGGCAGGGACCCGGCCTCTGGCCAGATGGCATTTCCCTGCCACACACGCCATGCATGGGATTGTGGCCCGAGGCTGGGCCCAGTGGTCTTGCTGTAGGGAGAGGGAGGACAGTGGAGGTGTCCCATCCTCATGGTCCCTGGGCACAGGGCTAAGGCCCCTGGTGCTGCACGTGGCTGTGGCCGAGGCTGCCCTGGGGATGTGGGCCTCACTGTCAGTGTCTGGCTGGGATTAGACTCCACTGCCCCGAGTTTGGTGTTGACATCTGGCCCCTTTCCCTGTGGGCATCCAGACCCAGCTCTGCAGTAGTGAGGACCTCCCAAGATGCCCCCAGGAGCCGAGCTGGCCGTGAGAGGTGCTCAGTTCCAGCCTTCGCGGTGTTGGTCCCTGCCTGAGACCTGCCCTGGGGAACAGAGTCACAGGGTCTCTCCAGGGAGGAGGGGCAGCTGGCCGCTGGCTTGGATGTGAGCTCTGCACATGGAGGAGGCTGCATGGGAGGACTCGGCACCGACAAGACGAACAGAGGGCGGCAACGTGAGACCAGGAACCCCACAGCCAAGGCCTCCCCTGGCCACAGCGGGGTCAGCAGGAAGGGGCTGCGGCCCATGCCAGCTGGGTCAGGGCTGGCAAAACGTCAGGACTGGCATCCGAGCCAGGCCAGAGCCTACCCTCGGCCCTGTGGCCACAGTGGGCATGAATCCAGGGCAGGTCTGCTCCCCTGTGTGCCTGTGTGCCAGGCCAGGTGGTCTTGAGAAGGCACTCCTCCATGCTGTGTGCTGGGAGGGGAGGTGACAGTGCGGTTTGGGCTGGGGTGCGGTGAAGGTAGAGGTTCCCCAGGGCTGGGGTCCAGGCTGGGTATACTGGGCAGTGGGGCAGGCTGGATATGGGCTTGGCCAGGAAGGTCAGCAGCAGGGCGGCAAGTGCCCTGCCATCCCACTGAGGTCCAGCCCAGCCTGCCAGCCTGTCCATGTGTGCAGTGTCCTTAGGACGGCGGCATCCTTGGCCTCCTGCACCCAGGCTGCACCTGTGCCCAGTCCCGGGCTGGCAGGAGATGTGGTCCAAGTAGGGCAAAAATCTGGTCAGTGCTGTCCAGAGCTGACTTGGTGCCTGGATTTTCTGGTTCTGGTCTGGGCCATTTTCTTCCGCATGGCTTGTGGGCAGCTCTGGCTCCCTGGATTCGAGTTCTACTGCAGCCCAGATCAGACACACAGCACCCGCTTCCTCCGCTGCTTATCTGTGGTGTGGGGACCCTAAGTATGGACTGATTGCTCAGGTCAGAGAAGCAGCTACCGGAAGAGCTGAGCTCCGGGCTCGGTGGCAGGGACAGAAGAGGGTGGCTGCGTCTAAGCGTGCTGCGGTCACTATGGGGAGGTCTCCAGCAATGGCCTCAGCCGGGAAGGGACTGGGAGAGCATTCAGGAAAGGGGTCCTCCCAGCTCACCAGCTCATGTCCACCTGGAGACCCGGTCTGAGGGAGCCCTGCCAGCAGGGGACAAGCAGTAGGTGTCCTAAGGCTCTGTGTGTGGCCAGCCTAGACAGAGACCGGGCTGCTGGGCACTGCCTAAAGCCGTCCATCGGGCTAGATGTCCCTTAAACACCCACACGTGTCCACAGGGCCCCACGAACAATCAGGTGCCCCTTAACCCTGGGTGGGCAGTCGCTTGGCTTCCCAGGGGTCAGTGCCCAGTTCCGCGAGCCCCCTCGGTCCCCTGCCTGCCCTGAAGAGCTGAGACTGAACCTGGGTCTGCTTATCTGGACTGGAGTCTGCCTCCCCCTCCCAGGGCTCTGGACGCCTCAGGAGCTGGGGCCCAGAGACCCAAATTAAAACCTCGCCATTTTCCAGGGAGGCCAGACAAATTAGTTAGCTTGTGTTTTCTGCACAGTGGGCATTTTCCAGGCTGCTATCTAATTTAATTTCTGCTTTTCTGTTTCTTGCTCTCTGTGCATAATAAATTTCCCTGCATGTAACGGTGTCTGCTGCCTGCAGAAAGCTTGCGCCTCATCAGGTCAGGTTGGAGCTGGACTTGAGCAGGTTTAGCCTGGGGTGGTTTGTGCTGGCCCTAGGGGCTGGGCGAGTGGGGAAGCAAGAAGAGCTAGAGCCAGCCAGCTCTGTGGACTTGTTCACTTCCCTGTGTGTGGACTTCTTTGCTCTGCGTAAGTGGACTCACTAATTTATTCATTCAAATAAGGCCTGTGGCTGGAGGGATGGAAGGGAGATCAACTCTCAAAGTCCCTGACCCATAGAATCCTGCAGTGCTGTGGGTACTGGAGTGGAGCTGCTTCCTGCATGATTTTGGCAAAAGGATGCAGGAAGCATTTGAGTAGGGTACTGAGGGATGAAGAGGAGCTCGCCAGAAAAGCATCTCTTATGAAGTGAGGGTGCTGGGGGTGAGCAGGGACCTCCTGGGCTTTAGCCTCCCTGGCCTTGTCTCTGGCTAAAGCATTTTGGGTGAACCAGTCCCCAGCACTGTGCCCGTCTTCCTACATGAGTCCATCCAGCTGACAGAGCCACTGGGGAAAATTCCAGAAGCAAACCAGCCTACCTCACACACAATTGACTCAGGATGGGTCAGAGATCAAGGAGTTAAGACCCACAGCTGTAAACCTCTTGGAAGACACAGCTGAATCTCCATGACCTTGTGTTTAAAGAAAGATGCTTAGACATGATGCCCAGAGCAGTAACAAAAAGAGAAAAGAGTACATACATTGGACTTTATCAAAATAAGAAAAAATGGCATCAGCTTAGCCCATGAAGATGGGAGAAATCCCAGGGAGCAGGAGGATGCCCAGTGTGGCCGTTCCATAGAGGTGCAGGCATGGGGTCAGCGGGGTCCCTGGCCTGCACCGCAGTGAGCAGGAGGCGTTGCCCACACAAATCCTCTGCACAGATGTTGGCAGCTCACGGGTCACTGCAGAGGAGAGTAGGGGCAGCCTACACTGGGGTGTTCATGCAGGAGTGTCTTTATTACCCAGCATGCACAGCAGCCAGCCATGCCAAGACTCAGGGGACTGCGGAGAGGATCTGGACCCACCGGGCTGCATGCTGATTGGCTGTCTGGAGAGGTAGACTTGGAGACGGGAGGTCTCAGGGCTGCCGGCATAGGGAATGGTAGGTAAAGGGCCCTGGGCACCTTTCGGGGTAATGAAAATTTTCTACAACCTGCTGGGGAAGGCCAGCCCGTCCCCACCAGTGAAGCCTCGGCAAGGCGCTGCAGGACTGGGCCCAGTCATCCCGAGGTCTTCCTCCATGCCTGGGGGTCTGGGGAAGGGGCCAGACTCCTGATGGACTCTCGATAGATGTCAGTGTGTGCTTCTAGCATTTTGGTGCGGCCCCCAGCTGGGGGCTGCTCATCCTGGACACCTCTCCCTGCCCCGTTGTACGAACTGCGTGGGTTGTTCCAGCCCTGTGAGCAGTAAGGGAGCCCTCTGCTCGGCAGGTGTGCAGTCCAAGGGGAGGAAGAGACTCGGAGTTTGTATGTCTGTTCTTTGTGGCCCGAGGTAAACCCTCAGAAACTGGAGAAGCCCCTGGGGAGTGTTTGTGCCTCTCTGCCTTCCGGGTCCCACCGTCACTTCTGCGTGTTGCCAGATCAGACAGAGCACGAGCCGCCAGCAGTTGTGGGGACTCCTGGGACAGCTCTGGGCGGATCTGTTTCAGGGGGGCCCCATGGCCAGCAGGCTGGGACCACAGCCACCGTGCTGGCGGCCAGTGTGCTTCCTTGGCAAGGTATCCCTCGGATAGTCCGGATCCTGCTGCTCTCAATTGCCGGAAAACTGTAGTGGCTACTTGATGTCACCTGGAGGTGAGAGGTCAGCCAGGTCGCTCTCTGTTATGGTTTAGGTAAAAAATGTCCCTCCAAGTCTCATGTGTGGAGAGTGATGAGGCCGCTGCCCACCTTGGATTCATCCACGGATGAGTTCAGGGCTGAGTGTTGTGCTGGGAGGTGGGGCCGGTGGAGGCGGTTATTTGGCCGTGACCTGGGAGGGTGCGTCTCCCTCTGCAGTTGCTCCCCCTCTCTTGGCCTCCTGGCGGCCCTGCGGGGAGCAGCTCTCCTCTGCCAGGGCCTTCCACCAGGCTTCCTGACAGATCATCAGACCATGGACTGAACTTTCCAGCCAAAGCAAACCTCCACCTTTAAGTTGTGGGTGTTGGGATCTTGTCCAGCAATGAGGAAAGTAACTATGACACCATCGACTCAGGACTTGGGTTCCCCTGCTTTGGCCCCACTGCCGACCCATCGCATGGCTCTGAAGCGTCTGGATTCAGGTGAAGGAGAGAAGTCCCAGCACAGAGGGCCTCACCTGTCAGGTGCGTGGCTGTGTGTTGAGTTCCTGGGTGCTAACACTTACTGAGCCCTTGTGGTGTGAGGCAAGACTGACCTTGGGTGCATCCTCTCAGAGGCCCCAGGATCTGGAGGAAAGGACAGGGCCTGGCACTAGGCTTTCCCTGTCCTGGATAAAGTGCTGTTCTAGGGGACCTAGGAGTGTGGTGTCCCAAGCTCAGCCTGAGCCCTGGGAGTGGGGGAGCAGGACTTTGCTGGGGCAGCAGGCCCTGCTCTGTAAGATTCCCAGACTCTGAGATTCAGGGGTAGAGAGGCCTGGGGTCCCAGGTGTGGTGACCTGGACCAAGTCCTGGTAGTCCAGGATCAGGGCACTGCAGGCCCAGTGTGATGAGAGCCACACTCCCCAGAGCAGGCAGTGCTCGACCCACCCAGGGCAGAAGCATCCAGGATCCCGTCCAGATAATGAAATTGGCAAGACTTTGCCCAGGATGGTAGGAGGAGAGGGGAGAAAAGAGGCAGAGGCTGAAATGAGTAATAGGAGAGGGCAGCAATAAAAAGGAATCAAGGAATTCTGTGTACTAAGGAATACTGTAACTGTCTGCTAACATATTAGATAAAGGGGAAAAAACAGCCCCATTCCTGGAAAGCTACGTATTGCCAAGACTGACTCAAGAAGAAACAGAGAGTCTGCGTAGACCTGTGACAAGAAAAGTTAATGATTCAGTAATCAGAGGGAAGGATACAGTTGCCTAAATTCTCTGCAAAGTGACAAACTGAATCCGGTCGTGGCCGAGAAGGGACACGTGGACTTCATCTCAGGGATGCTAAGCTGGTTCAGTGTTAACGAAAGTCAATCCCACGACACACAGTACGAAGAATAAAGGATAAGAACGTGTGATTCTCAGTAGCTGCCGAAAAATCGATGAACAAACCCCTGCATCTTCAGCGTGATGTATGGTGTCCAGGAGCTCTGTACTTAGTGGTCAAGACACAGTGCACCGCCCCTTGGATCAGGAACAAGACAGGCTGTGCTGGCTCAGACCTCAGTCCGAGCCACCAGGAAGGGGAGGGAAGCCTCTGCCCTGGTGTCTGAGTGACGCCCTCCAGGTCAAGGACATGTGTCACGTCCGGTACCTTCTGTGTTAATGACAACTCCTTCGTCTTTGCTTTTAATCAGGATCTGTGCGTAATGAGCATTCCTGAGCAGAAACAGCTGTGGCAAATCCTCGAGGAAATTCTCTCCAGGAAACTAAGAGCTGATGGTCCCAGCGTGTGGCGGTGGCAGCCTGCGCACCCTGATTGTAGCCACCAGCGGGGACACTCCTGCCTCCCGGGAAGGGCCTGTGATGCCAGGGGGCTATGAGCTGCTTCCATCCCACTCCACACCTGGCGCAGGTCCTCAGCTCGGGGTGGCAAGGCCCCGTGACCACCCCAGTCCAGTCACTACGTCCAGTGAGGGTCCCGGGCTCTGCGACACAGCAGGCTGGCTTCCTTGAGTGATGTCAGGTGGAGCCCACAGCCCTGGCACCGAGGAAGGAGGCTGCCAGGAGGTTTGCTCAGCCGGCTGCTCCTGGCTCTCTGAGTGGAGCAAGCACGGTGACTGCCGCAGCCTCGGGACAGCCACAGGTGAGAGTCTGGTGCCTCGTCAGTGAGGACGGCACGTGCAGGTTCACACAGTGCCAGCTCCGGCCAGGGGCCTGCAATGCATTGCTTCTGAATGTTTTCCCAAACACCCATGGGGGGGGGGGCATGGCTGTCACCATGGAGACGATGTGCCAGTTACACACAGGAGCTGAACCGAGTGCAAGGCAGGGCCTCCCCGGCTCACAGCTGGAGAGCACTGGTGCTGGGGTCCGAGTGCCATATGGAAGGCTATTGTCCCCCTGGAAACACATCTGCAGCTCTGAGCTGGTCCAGACCCGGCATCTGGACCCAGGGAGAAAGAACGGCTGGTAGGGATGTGACATAAAGGACTGGGGTGCCCTGGAGGCAGGGCACACGGGGACCGTGACAAAAGCCCTCAGAGGAGGGAACACAGCCTGGGACACAGCATCCAGGAAGGGGGTGGCATCTGTGGCCATCATCCTTGGGGGCGAGGGGCACAGCCAGGTGTCAGAGCCCTACTCAGAGCAGCACCTTCCAGACCTTGAGATGGAGGGCCCGGGCCCGTGCCCATCGGCCCCGGAGGAGAGACACAGGCAGCAGCCTGCTCCTGACTTCACCCACCACCCACACGTGGCACCTGTAAGACCCAAGTTTTCTGATCAAGGTGGTCTCCCTCTCTGACCTTTACTCAGAATATAAAGATCAGGTTTTCTGGGCAGAGAGCTGTAAAAATTCCATTCTGTATAACAACCTCCTCCCTGTTTTTATGTTCCTCTTTTTCTGACCCAAGGATGAACCTATCTTCCCGATAGTTGCTTAAGATAGTTAGAAAATCATATGTTCAATCACATGCTTTGTTAAATATAATAATTGATTAATCAAATGTTCTTTGGAAAAAGGAACTTGACCCTTTGAACCTCCCCTCCCTTAGGTATTAGTAATTTCCAGAAAGTACCCTCCTATTCCAGTAAGTACCCCAATAATACCCAATAGTAATCAAAAGATAAAAATAGCATCAATAAAAAGGGAAAGCCTCCCCAACCCTATATGATTGTGCTTCAAAAATGGGTCAGGACTCTCGTTTTCTGATCCGCTCAGTCAGTGAAGTAAGAGGGTCCAGGCTCGAGCTTGGAATAAACTCCTCATGAAATTACATCGGACTCAACTCCTTGGTGGTCTTTGGGGACAACAGCACCCATGTCTTAAAAATGGTCTCTGTCTCTCACCAGGCTTTGGGTGGGAGAGTTTTACCCCAGCAGCCAGGGTCCAGCACTGTGGAGCCCGTGGTCTTCGGGACCCCCTGTGGAGAGAGGAGTTTGCAGTCCGGCCCACTGTGCTAGTCCCACTGGGAGGCTGAGTCTAGAAGAGGACACAGGGACTGAACTCTGGGTTATGTCCACCTGGCAGATCCAGAGCCCCTACCTGAGGGGCTGAATTAGGTGGTGAGGAAGGGTGGAGGGGCTCTAAGCCAGGGAGCGTTCCTGGAAGAGGCAGCAGCCCTCTCCAGGCTGCACGAGCCCTTGCTCTCCTCTGAGCTGTGAGTACAGCGGCCACAGAACTGGGGAGGGAAGGCTCACTGCCCGGCCGCATGGCACAGGCTCTGATGTGCACGTACCGAGCGCCAGGACCTGCAGCTGCAGTGGCACTGTCCACCGTGCTCAGCACGTGCCCTTCGGTGGACAGAAAACCTCGTGGTGGCTTTCATACATCTCAGCCTACATCAAATGGACTGATGACAAATAAACCAAGGCCAGGGACGACTGAGAATAATTACAAGTTGATCTTGGATGCTGTCTTGATCATGGGGCAGGTTGAGAGATGTGGGTCTGCTCCTGGTAGTTTTCAGGGCTGCCTGGACATAGATTTCTGTGCTGCCCCTGACTGAGGTGTCCTGCAGGGCACGGGCGCACTCTCCAGATCTGGGCCCCCTGAACCCTGCAGCAGCGACTCTGCCCTCGGAGGTTTTGCTCTGTCGGGTCAGATCCTGTCCAGCGCACAGTGAATGTTCCTATCCCAGCTCCTCAGAGTGAGCCTGGGGTCTGTGCAGGGAGAATCAGGGCAGGGCAGCTGCATGGACAGCAAAAGCTGTGGATCCAGGCAGCCTCACGTGGGCCTGGGGTGGCTGGGGCTCCCGAATCCAGCTGAGGTGAGCCCTGTGGGGAGGTTGCCCAGCATCGTAAGTGCACACAGTACCCTAGGCAGGCGCAGACAACAAAGTCAGCACCCTGCACCACCTACCCCAACCACCCAGTACTGCCTTGCGCACCCCACCCAGGGCCTCCTGGGTGTCTCCGGTGTGTGAGAGCCTCTTGTCCATCCGTGCCGAGGCTGTTTTCCTCACTGGCGGGGCAGGTTGTACATGTCCTTTGCAGCCATGGCCCCTGGGCAGGAAAGCGGGGCTGGAATGCACTGTGCTCATGATGGAACACAGCCTGGGGTCCCTGTGTCCATGAGCTGGCCCACCCTGGCCTCTCCTGGATCCAAACCCACAGGACACCCAGCACGCAGTGGTGCTCAGGCCTGGTGCTGCCCCTTAGGTGGATGGAGGGTGGTCAGGGGCCAGAGGGGCCGTCCTTTCTCCACTCGTGGCCTCGAAGATGCTGGTGGCAGAGAGAAGGCGAGGGAAGGAGCTCCTGGTGTGGAAGCCCGGAGAATGGGTGCAGACCTCCGTACAGTGATGCAGACAGCCGGCGGGTGTGCAGCAGCTCACACGGGGTAAGGACTGAGGGGTGTGACGAGCCCGTGAGGGACACAGCATTTCCACATCCAGGGCCAAAGGACCAGGACAGCACCAGGCCTGGCAAGAGCCTGGGCTGCTTACTCTGTTTCCATGGGCCCCTGGTACAGCTGACCAGCAAGGCTGTACTTGCAGGACAGCAAGATGTCCATGCTCTGGGTACCACTCCATCGGCAGGATGCAGAGTGGACAACTGTCTCTGAAACCGACTGCCTAGCTGCCCAAGCGAACTTGGACCAGTCGCTTCCCCTACCAGCACAGTCCCCTGTGTCTCGGGGCCCCTGAACTCCCTCTGTGTGATGAAGCCACACCCTATAGGGCTGTGGACGCTGTGGTCTCTGCCGCAGGGACCCTGGGCAGGCCTGGGCCTGTTTGCCCCAGGTGACGAAGGTGCTGCCACCTGCTTTTTAAGAGACAGGTACTCTAACAGCCTGCCTGTTCAGGACTTGGCCAACTTCAGATCAAAAATCCTTTTATAAAATAATTGCATGGACAGACTTGCCATAGACATGGACAGACTTTTCTTCTTGCTGTTATCCCATAAACAATGCAGTCTTTCCCTTGTCAGGTACAGTGAGTCACCCGGGGAGGGCCCAAACTTAAGACTAGAATCAAAAGTAAGCGACCGATCCTTTTAGAAACAACTTGGACGTGCCTTAGGCAAGCACACAGCGTTAACTTCGAACCCCCAAGCCCTGGCTGGGTCTCCGTTGTGCCCTGCAGGTTTCCCTGCCCGAGAGCTTCTGTCTGTGGGCTTGGGAGTCCGTGGCTTCTCTCCATGAGAATGTGAATGCCCGTGTCATCATGCAGGGCTACACGTGGCGTCTGTGCCGCTGTGAGCCCGTGTGTCTCTGGTAGGCGTGGGTGCTTATTTATCTCTGTGTGTGGCAGAGCTGTGACTCAGCTGCCACCAGTGTTTGCCAAGTGTTTCTCAGAATAGGCATGCATTTCACGTGCCTCACACAGCCAGGGAACCTCAGTCTGAGCTCTCCCAACCTTGCTACTCTCCTGGGCTCCCTAGTGCTCCCTGGCAGTGTCCCCTGCGGGGTCATGACCCTGAACGTAAAGCTGCCAGTCACACCTGCAAGGTGCCCATTGCCAGGCCCTCTGTTAGCAGTGACAGGACCTCACGTCCTCTGCCTCTGAACCCCACCACCCAGAGGCACATCTGCCCTGTGCCGACCTTCCCCTGTGCCAAGTGGGGTGCATGGCGAGTAGAAGTTCTTAACTCTGCCCGAGTCCAACTTCATCAGCTGTGTCTCAGAGGCCCGGCCTCCGTCTCACCCTGAGGCCTTGTGGCGTCCACCCCGCCCTTCTTCAAGGCCTCTACCTCACCTGCACACACAGCCCCTGCTCTGTGTCTGCTTCATGTTCCTTGGGGTCTGAGATTGACCTCCAGTTTCCCTTTTCTCTGCGTGCGGGTATCCAGTGGATCCAGCACCGTTTATTAAAAATCTCTAGGCCGGGGATTTAGCTCAGTGGTTCGGTGGCCTGCCTTGCAAGCGCAAGGACCCGAGTTCAATCTCTGGTACCAAAAAAAAAAAAAAGTTTTAGCCTTTACTCAATGATTGTATGTAAAGCTCTCAAACACTTTTTTGAGGCAGAATGGAGCTGGGACTCATTGCGGATTCTGTTATGGCTAATTAGCTAATCATCTCGTCCTGTCTAATCAGCTGCAAGCTGGGGCTGAGCTCACGCCAACTGCTATATATATTCACCCCCCACCCCATGCTAACTAACGAAACCATGGAATTTCTGCTTCTGCTCCATTTCCCAGGGTGGGACTGCAGCGGGGAGGTGGCATTGGTCCCACTTCCCCCTCCCCTACTTTGTCCCCTCAGCCCTGCCCCCTTCCTCTGCCAGGAAATTCTGGGCCGGTTCCCCAGAGCGTGAGGATGCCAACAATCTCAAGGGTCCTTGGCCTGGGGACCTTCCCTGAGGCCTTGTGAGCAGAAGTGGAGGGCCACTGTGCCCCTTGGGGAGGCAGAGGCCACATCACACCTGTCCGGGGCAGTTGACTGGCAAGACAGCTGGTCCCTGCTGAAGGCTGCTGAGCAGGACCCCACAAATAGTCCGGGAGGCTTTGTCCCCATCAAATGTGAGCTGGCAGGGAAGAATGCTGAGCCCTTACAACAGTTCAAAAATGGTTCCTGGGCCTCATGGCTGGTTGTACAGTGTTTGCCTGGAGCTGGCTGTGTGTGTGGTGTGTGTGTGTGTGTGTGTGTGTGTGTGTGTGTGTGTGTGTGTGTTTTAGGAGACCTTCCACTTCAGAGAAGTTTTAGCTTTCTCTTAGTAGAGGAACAGAGGGACCCCAGAGTCCCCAGTGGGTGAGACCCCTTGGCTGGAATCCATGCATTCAGAGGCCACAGTTCAGACAGGGCCCTGTTGATGTGCCCCGAGCTTTGTCACTTCTGCAGTATCACAAGTCACCAGCCTAGTGTCACACAGAATAATCTCACAGCCCTAAAGCTCCATCTCAGCTGGAGCCTTTTCCATGTGTGCCAGACCGTGAGGACAGTTGCTTTGCAGGACACCCTGCCTCGGTGAGGCCTGACCCAGCTGCTGCCTTGTGACCCGCGTGGTACTGGGTAGGGAGCTCCGTCCAGTCTCCCAGAGGGAGGACCCAGCCACTCCTCTCTGTCTACTCTCCCTGCCCCACAGTGAGCAGGAAGAACTGAGGGGACAGCCTTGCAAGGGACCCCAAAACCTTCAGTGACGTGGAAGATTTCCTTGGAAATTGTGCTCGGACCTGTGTGGCCAGGCCACCGTGGCGAGGGGCCTGGGAGGATGGGCAGGGGGCGTCAGGCAGGCCACAGCATCCTGAGGCCTGGTGGGGGACACCTGTCCAGCTTGGTTACTGCAGCCAAATGGTGTGATTATCCACCTGCCTGGCCCTTTCCCCCATGAGAAAGGGGAGTCCCGAAGCAGAGGGGCATCAGGAGAAGGACCAGGATGAAGAGAGGAAAGATTGGAAAACTTCTAATAAAATTACATTTCCTGAAATAGCCATAACTGTGATCGTGATGAATTTGCAGCCTTATTGGTGCTGACATGGCCGCTGTGGAGTAGAGACTGGGAGTCTCGCACACTCACGCCCGCCCCCCGCTCTGTGTGCCTCTCTCCTGTTGATATTTATTTATCTCACGGGCTTCGCTTGAATATTGATGCTCCTCGGGGCACCCACCCTGCATTGTGACTCACACTGCCCGTTTAATTCAATTTCTCCTCTCTTCCGACTCCCCTGACAGAAGTAATCGGCTTCCTGCTGCCAGGGTTGCCACATCCCCGTCCCAAGTTGGTCTTTAGGAGAATAATCCCCAGCCAGGGCCTCCGGCTGTGCTCCTGGAGTAGGCTCTGCTGCCGGGATTAACTGCTTTCCAGTTTACAGATTAATTTCAATAAGGGAAAGATTGAACTGCCTAAATGGGCATCTCGGTGGCCTGAGTATTTGTTTTCTCCAGAATCCTGCTGAAATCTTGACCTCCCAAGATGGAGCTGTAGAAGGCGGGGCCTCGGAAGGGGGCTTGGGTCAGGGGATCAGCATTGTACTAAAGAGATCACAGTTTGCCTTTGTGAGCACCAACCACATGAGG